CACAAATCTTCAGTTCTAGGGCTTCTCTTGAACTCTTGTCACAGATAAAACTTTCCGTAGTTCCCTTTTTTCTTGTATATTAGAAAGGTTGTTCTGAGCATGCATAAGAAGGTGAAACATAGTGTTGATTATGAACAGAGAGATATCTTGTTGAGAGATTTATTCTTGAGGATCTTGAATCTATCTTTGTTGTCACCGTTGAACCAAAAAAAAAATAGTGCAAGAGTTTCTCGTTGTGCATCTCAACCGGGATATACACCAATTTGTGGCTAACCTAGGTAAATCCTGTTATTCTTTATTGCTTTAGTTTATTTTCTCTGTTGAATTTTGTCCAATTTGGTTATTGCAACAGTATCATACTGCAGCTTGAGAGTTATCTACTAGTCCACATGACTTTCTAACACATAATTAACTCGTGTATGTGTATGCAAGAAATATTTAGAACCTGACTTCCATTCAATAGTTCTACATGGTACATCTTTGTTAAAATTGTGGGAAAACTTCTTTGCTCTTTTCTTATTCTAGATGTTTTCCAAATTAGTCGATGATAAATGTTGGAAACCTATATGCTTGTTTTATGCTTCCTCTCTCATTGTATTCTTTTCTTTATTATATTATATTTATTTTTATTATTATTCTTTTTCTCTCCATATTTCATCTGGAGTTGGTTTTCTTGTCTGAGTGATTTTTGTTTTCAGGACAAGGTAGATTTTAAAGATCGAGAAACCTTTGAGGGTTTGTTCATGGAATATTATGAGATCATTAAAGAGAAAGAAGGTTTGAAGACTGAGAATCTTCATTCATCACAGGATTGGATGAAGAAGAGAAAGAACTACAAGTCTGACTCTGATTCAGAAGAATTTGCTGAAGATCATGGAGAAGAGATTTCTGATTGTGATGACATGGATTATGGGAAGAAATGCAAGATCCAGTACAAGAAAAGGAAAACTGAGAAATCCAATTCCAATAGAATGGAGTTTCTGGGTTGGGGTTCCAGATCTCTTATTGAGTTTCTTGGTTCAATTGGTAAAGATACTAGTGTAACACCATCGCAGCACGATGTAGTTTCAATTATAAATGATTATGTCAAAGAAAATAAGCTTTTTGATCTGGAGAACAAAAGAAGAATAACATGCGATGCTAGTTTGCAATCTCTTTTTAGGAGAAGGTCAATAAATAAATACAGAATATATGATCTTCTGGACACCCATTTTATGGAGAACCAAGATAATACCGAAGAGGATGAGCTTGAGGATAATTCAGAAGACAATGAAGCCAAAATCTCTGGTGCTTATAAAAGGCAGAAAAAGCAGGATGGTGTGAAAAAATCCCAGAAAGATGGGAAAGAATATAGTGCCCCCCGAAGTTATTTTGCATCCATTATAACCGACAATATGAAACTTGTCTACTTGAAGAAAAGCTTGCTATTTGAGCTATTTGAGCAACCCGAATCATTTGAAGAAAAGGTGATAGGAAGCTTTGTTCGAGTCAGATTGGATCCAAATGATTACAATCAAAAAAATCCTCATCAGCTCGTGCAAGTCAAAGGTCAGATGTGTACATTCCTCATGACCTGATATTTAATAAACTTCGGATGAACTTTGATTTGTTATTGTATAGTGCATGCACTGTATGATTATTCCATGATAACTGCAATTCAAAATCTTGCAATTAATGGTAGATCGAATAGTTTGAGTTTTGAATAAAGATATTAAGATTTGGACGGCGTTGGAAACAATTTCCACTTTAGGTTGAATACTTGAGTGAAAGAGCAAGTTAGCGTTATTAAGTGATATAGATAATTTAAGAGGATAATTAGGACTCTTTAGGCATGAAACTAATTTTGTTCGTTTGTTTAAACTAATATATGTTGATAATATTGAATACATCCAGTTTAGAAGATTTGATGTGGAAATTAAATATGCTGTTAAAATTGCAAAATACAAGAATGGATGACGCATTGACATGAGCTCATCCTAAAGCATAACAGTATTAGTTTACCAATATCAGAAATACATTATAAGAAAACTGATAAAGAAATTATTAAATCAAGTTTGGCCGAAGTCAATGTGAAATGAAGCATTTGATTATGATTTTGTTTCTTTGAGCTTTTCATGTTATTTAGTTTCACAACTATCAACATTCCCTTTTTGGAACAAATTTAACCTGAGCTTCTGAAATTTTTGAAGTATTAATACCAGTGAGCTTTGACTGAGCATGATTGAAACTTGTGTCACCTCTCTACTTTTGTCAATTATAAAGACAGTATTGAAATTTTTAATTCATTTATTAATCGGCTTTATTATTGTCGTTTTTCATTTGGAAAAATTAATAAGTAAAAAGTCAAGTATAATCATAGCTCTTTGCTCAAATTTCCTTGAACTGGAGCCTAGGCCCTCGGCCTGTGTATTCAACAAATAATTGACTTCTTAATACTTTCTATTGTTAATATGCACTTTCAGGTATAAAAAATGTTTCAGTTGGTGATAACAATACCGATATCATCCTTCAAGTTTCATCTGTGCCAAAGGAAATTCCTATGAAACTACTGTCAGATAATGATTTCTCTGAGGTAATCAAGTTGATCTGGTATTTGTTGTGTGTCTGTTTGGTTCACAGTAGAGATAGGACTGGACAGTACAATGAATAAGATTTTAGCTTCTTTTCTTCCTTAATTAATACTATCGAGTGCTATTCTAATGCTCCCGCCAGACATGCTATAAATGGTTTATAGTTTTTTGTTTCATCCTCTTTGTTGTTGCATATGTTATTATACTGATAATGATATGTCTGTAGAGCTTGCCTTTTTCCCTCACTGTGTCAACTACGGGAATCCTTACAGCTTATGGAAGAGAATCCTAACAGTTGAGAATATTTCATGGAGGAAATTGTTCAAATCAAATGAAATTAGACCTTTCGAACCCAATATTTAGTGCCAAAATATCACCATCTAATCAAAATAGATTGACTCTCAATAATGAAAATCCTTGAACATGAGAGTGGAGAGAATTAATACTAAACCACCCATGTATGCTATGTCCCGCAGGAAATGCCGTTTGCTAAATAATTAGAATTACTTCTGCCATTTTATCTCAAGTGAATTTTATGTATACTATCGTAGTCTTCCCAATGAATCTCAATGTCGTCTTTCCTTTATTTTATTTAATTAATAGTATCATAAAAGATTCTCTCCCAGTTAGTTGTAAATTTTGTAAAAGAAAATGTTTGGTAGCATATTTTCTGGTATTCTCCCCATCCTGAATAAGATCAACATCAGAACCCTCTTTTTTATTTCAGGAAGAATGTGAAGATTTGAGAAAAAAAGTGATGGACGGCCAGCTCGCAAGGCCTACACTGGTGAGTACTACTATACCTCCAGTCAGTAGATCTATTAACATCTCTCTTGTAAAATGTTAATGGTCATACATTATATATGTAAATGTACCAACAAACAATTTAGCGTCTTCCAGAATAAGATAATTGAATTGATACCCAAATCAGCAAAAGAGTAGGATACTGATATCTGTGAAAATGTGTTTTCTTGCTTCCCTATTCATCAGTGGAATATTTATTTATTCTAGAGGGATACATCCCTCAAGCTTTAAATAATTGATCAAGTTCCACTCAAAAAATTCCAAATTTAATAAAATTCTCAAAAAAAATTCGGTGGTCCTGCAGAGTTTTCAAGCAAAACCTTAATTATTAATCACTTCTGGACCAGCTTCTGTTAGAAATATGAAAGAAAATTTCCTTAAAGCCAGACATGCACTGTATAGATCAGGAATTAAAAAAAAAAAAGGTTCTTAGACATAGATTATCACAATTGCACAAGTCATATGTTTCTTATGTAAATAGCATTTCATCTTTATTATGAATCATCTCCTAAGATGCATTTGCCCAAGTTGTCTAGAGAACAGTCCATTTGCAATAAACAGTTTGATTTTCCTGTTTGATCCATTCTCTTGCATATATTTATTTATGCTTTAGTTGACACATTATTTTTGTTTTCTTGTTCATTCAATGTCTGATCATTATTTTATTTTTCTTGTCTATTTTATTTTGTTTTACAGGTGGAGTTTGAACAAAAAGCCAGAATTCTTCACAAGGATATAACAAAGCATGTATGCTTATGTTTTGACCTTGCATTTATAATTTTCAATAATTGCTTTCAGTTCTGGTTTCCAGCCACAAAGTTTTGGATATTAATTATGTTATTCAGTATTTTCTGAAGTTGGTAAATAATTTAAAACTCAGATAGTAATTTGTGAACATTATATGGCTCGAATGTCATGACTATCCTTAGAATTTGATGCTTCTAGTGTAAACTTTCAGTCTAATGTTTTGCCATTCTGTTGATGTGTGATAATTATCATCACTACACTGTGCAAATCATATTTATTTATTATTTACATCTGATATTTATCTTGTACGAGTCATATGAAACTTAAATAGCTTTTTGTTATTCATTACATAAATCTTGTTGTCTACTATTTTGGTGATTCCCTTAATAAAATATATATCACATTTCAAAGTCGAATTGATATTCCATATTTCCTTTTTACTCACATTTGCTTATCTTTAATATAATGCAGTGGATTAATAGAGAGCTGGCTTTGTTACAAAAACTCATTGATCGAGCAAATGAGAAAGGATGGAGACGCGAATATCCTTTTATGACTCAACTAAATTACAGGAAACTGGCTTGCATTTAATTCCTGAATTATAATTGCTGTGAATCTGAAATAATATAAAATTATTGGGGGTTTCTTGTAGGCTTTTTAAGCATCCCTGTCCATAAAACATATCATGTCATTTGTGAATTGCTAAAATGCTATTTACTAGGCCTTATATTTTTACTTATAAGCAATTAATCTTATTGTTTTTTCCTTTTTATGTTAATCCGCTTTTATAAGATAAGTGTGCAAAGTAGGGAATAAGAATATACACCAAGTTAAAGGTTGCACTACTTTTGAATATTAAGGATACAACTATTTTGTGATTGGGATATATCTTGCGTAGAACTAAAAATTCTCATTCATGAGTGATGCAAGCCCATTAGATTAAAACATCCTAAAAGAGGCTATAGGTGCTAATGATTTGAGTTCATTGGTTCTTTCAGTAGATATAGTGAAAAATTGAACAGTATCCAAAAAGATTAATGTAGGGGCTCCGTATTTATTGTGAATAATGCTTAGTTTGTCCTTGTAGAATATTCACTCAGAAGTTGTGGGGATTTGGCACGAGTCCTCACTGATTTTACTAAATTACTAAGAATCATACAAGAGGAGGCCGAAAATGATTGTGACCTTAACCTTCATTTCTTCTACGCTTTTTGAATACTTGGATAGGAGAAAGAAGCTTCAAACACCTTCGGAACAATCACGGTTGCTTGAAAATGTTCCCATGGTGATACCGGATGGCTTAGAAATCGAGAGATGCTCTTCGAAGTCAATCCATCAACATAATTCTAATGTTCCCAATGGTGGGTTGGAGGACAAAAAAATAGAAAAGTAAGAATCTGATTCAAATGAGCCGTTCAACTTTGGTGTCAAGATGTTTAAAATTTCTGCTCTAGTTAACTCTGTTAATGTTGGAGACTCATAATTTGATCCTTTAGTGGCTCAGTTAAAATTACTTGTTAGATCATTTGTCTCTCCCTTTTCCTTCCTTCCTCTTCTTCATATAGAACATATTATTGCAAGTCTTTATATAACAAATTATGGTATGTTTTCTTAGGGAATATTGTGGCATGTATTTATAACCATCCTATTCTGGTTATTTGTAATATACATAGGGTCTACCACTTTTTAATTAAAAAGACTAATAATTTTACACATTTTCTACTCATTGTCATACTTTTATCTCAATTACTTTTACACTATAATTTAACATTGTCATAATAGAAGGCTGATGGATAAGGAACATAGAATTTAGGATTGCAATAAAAAGATTTATAGCTTTCATTCTGTTATATCTTTATTTCGGTGTAATATGCTGGCATTAGAGTTCTATCTTATGGAATTTTTAATGAAGTCCTAGCTTTTATAGGGAAATCATTAATTTCTTAATTGCCGATGGCCTGGACCATAGACCTACAAGTATAACAATATTGGTTAATTTTTTATTCTTGTGCAAAATTTTCTAGGATAAGAACAATCTCAGAGATATATGGTAAGAATTACTGGGGACTTTTGTATCCCTACACGTTTCTATTTTGTTTTTAAGACTAGTATTTTCATTCATAAATATACAAACAAAGAATGGGAAGGACGTGGCATTCTTCATTGAGGACAATAATTATTTTTAGAAAGTACGTCCACATCTTTATTCCTCAATTCTCATGTAAAGATTAAGATCTTTAACCAAAAAGGCTCTAAGTCTGGAGGTAGTTACTCAAAGGTCATTCTAATGGGTAGCTCCAAAGATTCCTTACATGCGTTTGTGTAAGGTCCAATGAGTTTGGTTTTAACTAATTGAATAAGAACAAAAATATTGAAGATAGATTTAAATGACATACATATGGACTTCTTTGATGGGTTAAGCTTTTACATCAAGCGGTTCTAAATCTCTACCTTGATGTTCTAAATCTCTACCAGTTGAACAAAGATTTATTGAACTCTACAGAAGTCCCTAGAGATCAAGGACAAGAGGTTCAAGGCACCTATCACAAAGGTTTATTCGAGAAGGACAAAACCTGAAATGAACTCGCATGATTTAAGAATTTACCATGAAACAGGTAATGTAATTAACACTTAGAAATTTGATTCCCATGATGTCTTGGAATTACCTATATCCATAAAAAACCTGTTAGGACTTGTTCTCGTTGTCAAATATCTCAATTTGTTTCCTTTTGGCTCACCTTAGTTTGAGACTTTTGTCGCTGAAATGTGACATATGAGCGGAGTAATTTGTTCATAAACAAGAAAAGAAAGGGGGTCCAAGAAGAGAAGAATTGAAGGCAAAGAAGAAAATCAATTTATTATATATTTAAGGTTACCTATTACAATGAATAGGGCCTTCTATATAGAGATCAACTAATCTAAAATTTAAAGAACTTCTAATAGACTATAACTTTATCAAAATATTAAATCTAACTTAGCATAATATGAATTAAACTCTATTTTTAAAATCCTATCTAACTTCTGTTTTTATTCCATCTTTATCTTCATCTTTATCTCTATCTCCATCAAAATGCCTACACATTTAGGTTCCTAATTATGTCCACGAGGCTTTTGACTCAAAGCCTTGAGACGAGAGCCATGGAAAAATTCGAACCTTATAAATAGTGGATTTGCAAGTGGGAAGAAAACTATGGGCTATAAATGGATTTTCATAATCAAGTACAAGCCTGATGGGTTTCTAGAAAGATACAAGGTCTGCTTAGCAGCAAAGAGTGTACAATACTTATGGAATTGTCATCATGAAACCTTTGCTCTACTTGTCAAGGTGAACTTCTGATCCTTCTTTCATTGGCGACAAACTTTGACTGGCCTCTATTACAGTCCTACAGAAAAATGAATTCCTCCACGAGAACTTAAAAGAAAAAATGTAAATGGAAATTTCACTTGGATATGAAAGTGACATTGTGAAACAAGGTGTGCAGGCTTCGAAAGTCCTAGACTTCGTAGGGACTAAAACAATCTCTTCAGCCATGGTTTGAAAGCTACGTTAAAGAGGGCCATATGTATATTGTGTAAATCTTATCTTCAACATACATTCTCATATGTCGGCGGGATTCAATATACATACTATTTCCGGTATACAATCTCTTGCTAAGAGCGAGCAGTTCCAATACTTTGGCACCTGTCAAGGACCAAGAACAAGGCAAAACACTGCAAAACAGAGGGAGAAACATGAATAAATTGTTAAATAATAAAAGCTAGATCCAATTTTTATTTTTTATTTATTTTAAATGTGTGTGTTTGAGAGAGAAGGATCTAAATTTTAACCTTTGATTCGTGCAAAAGCATTGGTGATCCACTGTTATGATCTTCACGTAGCATTGCTCAGCATTCTTTATCATTCTGGAACAGCAAATAGGAACTTATTATTTTCACGAAAAAGAATTAATTGGGGGAAAGTAGTAAAGTAGAGAATAAGATTTACAGATGACTAAAACTCTTACATCCTAATCTGAAGAATTTTATTCAAATCATTGAACTGCTCTCATCCTTTTGGGCCTCCCTAACTTTGTTATTTTACTTGGACCAAATCTTATTTTTGGTACTTCTAGATATAGAAAATGAGAAATATTGAGGCAAAGGAATCCTCATCTCTATAGGTATATTTACGATATCTGTCCTATTCTATACATCCTCTTCCCTTGTCTCTCTTTGCCGAGGATATGCTTCCAAGGACTGCAAAAGTACGCCTTGTTCCAATCCTGAACTTCAATTTTCTGTAGTCTCCATTCGCTTATTGGCAATCATGACTGTGAAGTTCAGTCTATAATCTGGTTCGTCATGATTCAATTTTTGGAAATAATTACATTTTGCATGTGGATTAAATAGTATGCATAAATTCTTTAATTTATAAGCTTCTCCTGTCTTAATTATTGACCTTTATTTACATGCATTCATTCTGTGATTCCTTTCCCGGTTTGTACAACTTTAGATGCTTTAGTATGAAGTAAAACTTATTTGTTAAATCATTTTATTGTTACATAGGAGGAGGAATATCATATAATCATATATCTACATTTGTAAATTCTTTTCCCCATACTTATTCTCAATTTCGCTCTTTTTTCTATTAAAAATGAGGTAAAATCAATTTGGCATGGCAATATTGTCACAGAAGACAGGCTTAATCATAATCGCGCATCAGCTCCTGAAGAAAAGCAACATCTTTCGGGAAGATCCGCCTCAAGAGAACACTTGCAATCCTCTTCAGAAAAGAAAGAGATTTATTGGGAGACCTGTCATTTTGAAGATATGCCAAAGAACTCCAACCAAGGTACGTACGTCGTACAGAATGAAAAAATTTCAAGAGGTTAAGACCAATGAGGTTATTGACTTGTTCGATGATGCAGGTGAAAATAATATGGGAATTATATGTGCTCAGCAAGGCCTTCCCAAAATAAAGTAATATTACTTTCTGACGATGGCTTCCCGCAGCATTTGCTCAATGGCCGAGTCGACAGAAAGCTTTTGGAAACATAGTGCCCCATGTAAAAACGAACAAAATCAAGAAGCTGAAAACTTCTCTTTGAAGAAGTGCCTGCAAGGTTCTGTTTATAGCATCTTTTTGCTGTGTATATTTTGTGGATGCATTTTGGTGTGTATTACCAACTTCAGCAGGTTAAACTTAAGAAGAGGAAGTTGCATAATTTTGGGTATCAAGTAAACACTGGTTTTTGGTTTATCCATTTATGATTACGTAAATTATTTGTTTTACTGTTGGTTTATTATAATCAGTTACTTAGTATCGTAATTTGAGTATATCAGTGCGAAATTTTTCATTTTTTCCTTTGTGGTACTACCATTTTCAAATCAGCTGCTATTTTGTGAATTGATGTTGGGAATGTTTGATATTTTTTGTTGAACAATACCAAATTGCTATTAATTCTTTTTGATATTTTGATTATTTGTTAATCTAATTGAGGTGACTCAATTTTTTTTATGTTTTTTTAAAATATTTTTAATGACGTAAAAAATATGATCAATTGCTTTGAATTCTTAATTATATGGTTTTTCATTTATAAGTTCCATCTAAATTTCAACAACTACGTATTTAGTAATCTTACTATTCTAAATAGATCTATATGGAACAAGAATAAGCGGAAATTAGAATCACAATAGAGGTTCAATAATTAAAGAGGTATTTACAAGATACATCTAAAATACACTATAAAATATCTTATATTTCTCTTTTATTTTTGAATTTTTATCTTTGCTTATCATCTTTGATATTGCATTTTTTATTTTTATTTCTATAAAAATAAGGATAAATAGTTTTTTTAACAGTATTTTGACTTGGCAATTAAAGAATATGGTGAAAGTGTCTATTAAAGAACTAAGTATTATCGAAAAGAAATGTTGAGGACTTGAGTACTACCATGGTCAAAGGTTGGACACCTCCTGTGCTAATTTCCCAAATTTATAAGTGCATGCTTGGTAAGTTGTGTCTAATTTGTACGTTTGACCACCTGAAAATTTTTAAATGATTGATAAATCACCTAATTTACGACAAAAAATTAATTATTCATTCAAAGAAAAGGGATTATGTGTAAATGGTCAGTACCATTTAACCTTCATACATTTTTGGTCCCTAACCTTTGGTCTTTGACAAAGACGTCTCGAATTTATGCCTTTAAGTGCTCAAGTGGTCTATTTGGACTTTTGATAGGGGTGGGCAAAACCCAATCCAACCCGCCTAAATTGCCCAAACCGATCGGTTTGGATTGGTTTATTTTATTTTTTATTTTTTTATTGGGCTAGGGTTTTGGGTTAAGAAAGCTGGCCGAGTTGGGTTGACCCATGAAAACTTGACCCGACCCGTGAAACCCAACCCGACCCACTTAATTTAATAAAAAAACGGAAATCATTGTTTATAACCCACAAAGCACAACCCTAAACCTAATTCCAAGTTTCGAACTCTCTGACTCTCTATCGTCGACTTGCCATCTCTCACCGTCTCCATCAAATCGTCGGAATCGAAGAAAACTTTTTAGTTACCGACGCCTATAGTTGATAGTCCACCGTTAGTACCAGGTTTTATTCGGGTTTTGCACCAGCCACCCTAGTTTTGGGGACAGTCTTCTAAATGACCGGGTTATTGATCCTATTTTCCACAATGACCTCTTCTATTGGAAATACTATTTTACCCTTACTTTTATTATTTGCAAAATGTATCCTGTATCTTTCGGGACTTATTAATCAGGACCTCTATCTATATTTTTCAATCTTTCAAACACTTTTAAATATTCTTTATATCTTGATAATTCTTCAAAGATCTTAGGCGGATCTTCCTTAGTTATGTATCCTCGAACTAATCCTTCTGAGACTTCTTCTTGTATATCTCTATGTTTAGTTATAATATCTTCTACCTTTCTTATTTTTCTGCTAGTTCTTACAGAATTAAATCTTATATTATTCTTACAATAATAATCAATATCTTGAGATATTTCTTCAATTTTTTCTTTGCCAACAGGAAATATATTTTCAGACTTTTCGGCTAATAAAAACGAAATATCTTTCTCATCTAAGTATAATATGAGATTATCATTAGAAGTGGATGTGGATGCTTGTGAATTGTTCATCAGAATTTATCAAAGCATAAGTATGTAAAAGAAAGTAAATAACTTACAGTAATCAAATTGAAGTAAATAGGCTCTCCCTCCAGTATGCTCTTATAAATGCTTTGCATGTACTTAATCAATCTTCTGAATCAAGTAAATGTTTAAAATATTTTTTGAAATCATTTGAGTTCACAACTGCTTCCGCAAAAAGACTTTTCAATTAAGGTTTCATTTTTCATTCTGGAGAACTAGCCGTGTTACCACAGACGCTATCTCACAGTATCCAGAGTCTCTATTTTCACCTCTATCCAAACTCTTTTCAAAATCAAGTTCTTACTTGGAACGAAATTTTAAAAGATAACTCACACACAAGGTGCTATAATTTTGTTAGAAAACTGCATTTTTCCCCTAAACCATTCATCAAAGAAGGGTACTTCGACATGGCTAACATCCATTCAAAATCAATGTTTTGAAAATCTTTTAAAATCTTATCCGTACTACCGATGAATCATGAGAAACTTAACGAAATCCTTTTATAAAAGCTTTGTTGAACATAACAAACTTTACTTTGACATTCATAAACTGAAATAGTATATGCTTACAATCTATATTTGCATACCTTTGGTACTCACCTTATGAAGTTTAGAACTCCATAGGTGATTACCTTATTACAGGCTTTGCTATCTTCAAGCTATCTAATATTTTTCTAAATACAAGTGGTGTATTCAAATTACAAAAGATATATCCCTAAGATTTGTTTTTTCAGAGTGTTTAAGAGATAAGTTGTTTCGAGATGTCCTCCTTCTTCCTTCTTGCCTCCTTTTATAGAAGCCTTTGAGAATTTTATCTTGACAGGTGTTTTCCACTTCCTTTTGTTGGGTAGCTCAATAATGACTTCACCGATTTCTCCATTATCTTCTTGCTAGGTGGACCTCTTCTTTTGAAATTTTTTGCCTTATCGTTGAATTTGCTTTCCACTTATGACAACTGGTGGGTGAGTGGTCACAATTATAAAGACTTTTGCATTATCTTCTGTCTTTTAGTAGCCACATTTTTTCTTTAATAAATTTCTTTATTAAAGTAGTGATAAAGGGCCACTTTTGTCATCATCACTTTTCCATTTTCGAATCAAAAAATTCTGCGGGGAATTCTTCACTATTGAGAGATGCTTGACTCATATATTCAACTACACAGTATTCACAATGGTGATCACTGTAGTTCCAGAGTAATTTGCACATTTCTTTAGCCATACTTCTAATCCATGTACTTGGTTGGAGATAATTGCTGATAATAAATGGCCGAGATAACAAATATCTTCTTCCTTCGTAGCCATCCTTGCATTGGAGTAGATAATATGGTATTCAAATGGATAAACCCATATTTTTTCTTTTTCAGTAATTATCTGAACTACATGTTCAAATATTTCTTTGTACCCTTTTGCTCTTTTGTAGGGCATCATATTTAAAATATCTTGATATCCATTTTTAACAACCTTTTGACTGGTTGGTAAAAAATGTTGGTTTGTAAGTCCCATTTTGATAACATGGAACGATGGATGCATATATTTAAGAACGGGATCCTATTCTATAGTTGTTGAATGGAATCTGATGTATATATTTGTTGTCTTGATGACTTCAGTATATCTTTTAACAGCTTTCCTGATGTTAACTGGAAGTTGGGCTATTTCTTTGAGATCTTTGCTGAGATATATACAGAGTATATTTCCTATCTCAAAGCAGTTTCGTACCCAGTTGGCTGGTGCTCCTGGATAGAAGTTTATCTTGTTGTATTTTGCATAGTGGAGAGTTTTCATCTACTTTCCTATCTCCAGATACCAATCTGATAGAACATTAAAAATAACAATAAAGAACATAACTTCTTCATGGTTATCTTTTCTGGGAATTTTTGCTTCATGATATATCTTGACAATATCTTTTGGATCTATTCTTTCAATAGAAAGTTTAGATTGAGTTTGGCTCTGTGAAGAGCTAACTTCTTTTTTGATATCTTGAATATCTTCTCTAATGGGAATTTTGGTATCTTCATTACCTGTAATAAGTTTAAGTATTCCCTGTAAAGGGGTTCCTATTACCTTCTTCTCTTTNACTTCTGCCTCAAGGGCTATATTTTTGTCTCGAAGACTATCTTGGATATTTTGAATTTGTGTTTCCAAATAGAAAACTTTTATTTCAAGTATTTGGACTTTCGTCCTTAGTTTTTCTAACTCCATCCCTGCTAAGATAATCAGGAAGAAAGTTAGTTTTACCTTTTATGTATTCAATATCAAATTTGAAATATGAAAACCAAATTTGTATTCTAATAATATATCTATTGGTAATAGATGGATCAACATTATTTTTTAAAAAGGCTTTAACTCCAGTATTATCAGTTCTAATCAAGAACTTCTTTGATAATAAATAGTCTTCATATTTTTGAACTCCCCTTTTTACAGCAATGAGTTCTTTTCTGTTCGTCTCATATCTCGTTTCAATTTCTTTGAATGTTCCTGATGTATAACCTGCAAGTATCTCATGACAAGAACAATTCTTTTGACATTTATATTCTTTATGATTCTTTTTAACCTTTAATACTGCTCCCCAGTAATTATTTGAAGCATCAGTTTCAAGGATAAAGAAATCTTCTTTTTTTGGTATTATAAGTTTGGGCAATACCTTTAATTCTTCTTTTACTTTCTTTATATTTTCACAATCTTGTTCTTCCCAAGACCACATTATATTTTTTCTTAATTTTTGAAGAAAATAATATTTTAGTTTGGCACAATTCTCAATGAATCCTTCAGCATAATTCAATATACTAAGGAAACTTTGTAATTGTTTTTTATCTTTGATTTATTCAGGAAATTCTTGAAATTTTTCTCCAATATGAGATTGCAATTGCAATTCTCCCTCTTTTATAAATAATCCTAAAAATTCTATTTCTATTTTAGTTATCTCAGTTTTCTTTTGAGAAAGTGTAATACCATGTTTTTTCATAATATAACAAAATTTTTCAAGATGTTCAATATGTTCATCAATATTATTTGAATGAATAAGTAAATCATCAACATATACGATACAAAAATGAGTAATTGGTTTGATAACCTCATCCATTCTTCTTTAGAATATCTGTGGTGCATTTTTCAACCCAAATGACATTACATTCCATTTGTATTGTCCTAAAAGATTGGGGGTACTAAATGCAATTAATGGTTTACTTTCTTC